ACCACCACCACCACCACCACTCCATCAATACCACTACCACCACATGATTAGTACATAACACTTTTAACATCATGTCTATTTTAATTATTATTCACAGTTACAACAATTTTATATTAAAATTTACCAAACATTTTTTACACTGCTTTTAATACTAACAACACTCTAAAAATATTGTTTACCAAACATGGAGCTGCTTTACTTTGCAGCTAATTATTTTCAAAGCACAACAGAATCAACTTTTTTTAAAAGTGACAGCAATCCCAAACTGGACTTTAGTCAAGTTGGCTAAAGCGGGTGTGCTTCTCACTCTATATCCGAGTTCAAATTCCCCATCACGTAGTTTAGATTATTCATGATCAAATCAAACGTCGTTGGCTTCTGGTTGTAACTACGTGGTTGGCTTCTAGTTGTAACTTGGATTAGTAGCTCCCCTCCCTACAAAGAAGCCCATATTTGCCATTTTCTAGTCGAAACCAACACTTATAAAAAGAAACAAAGAAAAGAGCAAATATCAAATGAATGTCAATTTCCAAATTTTGTTTGAGTTGAAAGTATAAGATGGATTGTTGATGAATGGAACTTATCTATTTCAATCCTATTAAAATTAAATTTTAAAAAAAGTTTTTTCAACGTATCTTGAATTTTGTAAGTTATCTAATTCAATCTAATCCTAGTCCCTCAACGTTGCCTCGAAGGTGCAGGGTATGTGCGTGTCACTATTACTTAACTAGATACTCAATAACTACCACTATTAATTAACTGTCGGACCCCACGCCACGCCACGCCACGCCAAACGTTCTGAAACTGAAAGCGTCTTTGAGATGAGATGAGATACGACATCGTTTCTCTGCACCATTAGACACTGCCCAAACAAATCTTCATCTCTTCTCTCTCCGTCTCTCTCAACTCTCATCGAGTCATTTGTTGGCACTCTTCACTGTAATTGAAGAAATGCTTCTTCCTCTTGTGCAAACCACCTTAACATCATCGCCTTTCCAATCCCCAAGCTTCAAGATTCTTCATCCGGCCACTGTGCTGCCCAAATCTCTCTTTCTTGGTCTTGGAATTGAACCCACAAATGCCCTCAAAAGATTACTCTTTTTTAGCAGAAGATCACATTATACTAAATCCAGAAACCCCAAGCTCACTATCCATGCTTCTTTGCTTGAAGCTCCAGTCCTTTGGGCTGGTAGGCTTTGCATCTTCTACGCACTCTTGAAGACTGGTTTAGCTGGATCTCAAGCTAACCCACTTGTCTCAGGTCTACTTCTTTAATGGGTTGTTTCTACTTTTCTTGGTTATTAACTGTTACCCTTTAATTTATTTCTAAGTTTCAGAAAGTTGTTATGGGTCTTTTTCTTGATTAAGTTTTTTTCTTTTACCGGCTTTCAGATTTGGGAAGCATTGAAGAAGGTGATGGGGTTGGGATTGAATCTGCTGATTTGGGGTTTTCTAGGTGGTTGAACAGCATACAGGGGAAACCAGGTTTGTTTCTTTTAACTGTACTTTCTTATATTGGATACATTAAGTTGAATGGCATTTTGTTGCCGGTCAAGCAGGTTTCATTATTAAAACCATTGGATATAAAAGAAGGGTAGTAAAAAGAAATTAGTTGCACAAGGTAAATCAGAGTGGAGATTTATGTTCTCTCAGTTATTATTAAGAATAAACTGAAGATGAGAAAGATAATTTTGCTCGCATTTTCTAAGAAATTAAACATGGGACTGATGACACATGAATACCTACTGGATGTGAATTTTTGTTTTGTTTTGATGTTTATGCATATAGGATCACTGAAATAATTTTTTTTTGTGTGGACAAAATCACTGAAATAATGGTTTCAGTAATAAGGCTCAGATTACTTATTACTAGAGTAAACTAAGCATATGTTTTACTTATCTCGAAGTTGAACTTTAAAATGACACCTTTCTAAAGAAGTTGATTTGAAAACTACTCAAGTTATCTCTTTAATGTGCCTTAGCAGTTCAAAGGGACACATACTTGGTTCCTTCCTGATCCTTTTTGCTGATTAGAATAAGGCATCCCTTGATGCCTACAAATTCTATTTATGGTATTTTAATGCAATGAAGCATTTGCCCTTGTATGACGGAATGCTGGACGGCTAAGTGGGTTATCATAAACGAAGCCTGTGTCTTTCCTTATGATTTGGTGGTCAATGATGAGTAGAGTCTTTAAGCAGGAAATTCTAATGCTGCTGCTGCCTGAAGACTATGAATTTCCAAGGGACATATGTTACCATCAATGTGCCAACTGATCCTTCACTTGATGTTATTTTCATAGATTGTTTGATTAGTTTTCAGTATCATTCTTTGCATTTGGTTAATTGGGTTGCTGTACTAGCTCCCCTGGGCATGTTCTAGTTTCCGTTTTTACTTGTCGAAAAAAGGACAAATGAAATAAAAATGGATAGATTGTTACTTATATTGGTTATAATGGATTAGTACAATATTCTCATATCCAAAAAGGCAATGACCAGGCCAAAGACTACTGTTAGCATTTATTTATTTCTGTTGATCTTGTTCAAGACCGAAAAAACATCAGAAGAAATTTTTGTCAATTGAGGTTTGCTATGGGTTACTCTTGATGAAAATCTTTTTCTTTTCTCTCTTTCTGCCGTTATGGGTATGAAATGAGTGGTAGTACAGTTGGTTTGTGTATCACCTCCTGAAGTCATCATACTAAGAGAGAGCTAAAGATACACCAACATGTGTTCGCATGACGAGAAAGAAATGTTGATTAACTACTTGGATGGATATTTATGAAAAATATTTTTGTTAAGGAAAAAGTTTTTGACTGGGTAACCTTAGTTATTCTTGTGTTCTACATGAAGGTAATGATTCTCGGCTTTTGTAAACCTTTTGGCCCTGTGGTTTATTTTAATGTCACAGATTTCTCATTTAGAGCTGCATTTTCTTTTCCTTTAGCATCCGTATTATATTTTATAAACCCTCAGTTTTGATTTGTTTTATCAGTGAAAGAAGCAGCTGATAGAAGGAAATTAGTGAGCAAATGGCATCCTACCACAAAGGGCACACTCAGAAGGAACTACAGGGTACCCTCTAAATCTGAAGGGCGGCGTGCTCTGAAAGCCATTGCCTCCTTATTGTCAGAGGACGATCACTTTGTAGATGCCACCTCCCACAAGGTAATTACAACTCTGAGGAAAACTGTTTCCTTTTCCTTTTCTGTTTCTTCCATTTTGATTGGTCTTTATCTTTTTCCATCCATTTCAATTTTTCTTCTTAGTCAAATTCTGAATAGCAGTACTCAGAAAGCCATGTAATCTCACATGCCAATAATTCTTTGGGCATTTATAGGGTTGCCAGATTAGGAGGGAGAGCGCTCACGGAGAAACTGTCTGTTGCAACAACGTAAGGGCTCTGTTCGATGAGCTCCCAACTCCACATCTAGTTGTGGAAATCACTCCTTTTCCTGCTGGTTCTCTTACAGAAACGGATTACACTAAAGCCGAGAAATTAGAGAGGGTCCTAAGGTCTGGTCCTTCTGTTTGAGTAATCTTGTACTTTTTGTGCTTTGACTTGTGTATTCAGTATCAACTTTGTACATAGTAATTTCATGAAAGGAAGCTTGTTTTCTTCCAATGCTCCTGGCATTTAAACTATCTCGCCATAACCCGGTATCAGCAATCAGTTAAACCGTTACTCGAATTAAGCTTAGGACGTTTATTAGCCAGGGTTTTCTTTGTTCACAGGGAAACAAAAAGGAAACATAAAGAAAAAAAGAGTCCAATAGATGAATGATTATGTTTGATTTATTACTAAGTATAAAAATTCAAGGATTAACAATATGAAATCCAATGCCAAATTTAAAGAAGCAAATGAAGTTTGTAATAGCCATTGATATCCGTGGCATGGGATATATCCACTATGCCACGAATATTCGTGACTGTTAATGATGTTTTCTTTGTATTGTCGATTATAAATACATGCCATCCAAAAGTTGTTAGTATTTTTTTTGTACGAGTTTAGCATGGTATTAGCTTATGAATTAGAGCTCTAACTACAAATAATCTATAACTTTTAAAGCCACTTACAAATTAAAGAACCAAACAACGAATCCAATGAATGAATGATTAATTACTAGGAACTGAATCCAAGATTGTTGCCCTTAGAAGATGGGGGACCTTCTAAACGAATATAGTCATACATAATTCCTTGGAAAGGACTTGTACTCAATGTTCGAGTTAGAAAAATGGTATTGTTCCCTTCCACCAGCTGAACACCTGGAACGTCGACATTGTACAGCCTATACAGCCCATGAATTCCATGCCTTGCGATCGTGTTATCGTTTCCAATCGGTCCCGTTGAAAAATGAGGATTGCTTGCTCGGAGGTCGTTGATCCGAACCTTGAAGAGTTGAAGCAAAATTTTCATTAGAATTTACTTATAAGTCATAATTAATGGATATGAAATTTGGGGTTCAAATTCTCAAAGTCAAGTAGTAATACTTGTAAGTCAGAAACATGTGCTGTGGCTAGTGCTATTCGTAGTTTGTAGGTATTGTTCTTGTCCACAATGTCAAGTTCGAACTTAATCTGCCATGTTGATCCTTGGTATGTGTTATTATCTGTCTTCCTGTGGATTAAAAAGAAAGGGGAACATGCATGATATATAAATAGTTAAATGAGATCTTACAATAGAAAGAGTTAGTTTTTAGCATATTAGAATATTGTCTTAATATGTTTCTGAATTGAGTGTCACATGTTTAAATATATCAAACTCCGTTTGATAACCTAACATGTCAGAAACGTAGCTACGTCCCCAACAATAATAAATTACCTGGTAACCTGAGCAAAGAAGAAATCTTTTCTATAATCGCTAACGCCCACGGTGTAAACCATGTCGTTGTGAGGATATAAATCTGCATATCTTTCCCACAATCCATATTGCCTAAACCTGCCATTTACAACAGACGCCTGAATTTCATGACCTAGCTTATAATAAAAAAATATAAATTTTTACAAAAGTTAGATTATCAATATAGGAAGAACAAACCTGTCAGTGTGGTTGAGATAGAGTTTGTTAATGTACATTGGATTAGGATCAGGAACAAAGAATTCTGCTGCAGTTCGATCTGGAATGCCTATTTCCCATAGAGTTGGCCCACTTCTTGGAGGTTCATAAACAAGTGTACCCACATCTTTATCACTACCTGCAGAGTATTTTACATAAAATCACAGTGTAAATGGATTATTTATTTATTTATATATAATAAAGAAAACTTATTTTAAGTAAAAAATAAAAAAAGAAGGTAAAAATAAGACCTGGAGATATGGTTACTTCAGCGTCATATCGATAATCACCAATTAAACCAGGAACATAGGCAAAAAGATTATATGTGCCTGGACGTATTCCAGTTACAGAGAAGTAGCCTTTCTCGTCTGCTTTAGTCCAAAATTGGTATCCCTGATGTAAAATTTAAAATATTATGCTGTAAATTTCTACATCATTCATAAATATATTTGGAAAATAATATACGTAAAGAAGTTTCGGCTGAGAAATTCCTCAAATAAGTTTCGGTTTTACCATAGAACACTTAATTGCAAATATATACGTACCTTGCATTCAAATTGCCATGATCCAACATCTCCTGGAGCTGCCAACCCCACCAGGGTACCATTTCCGGGTAAATCTTCATCACAAATATACCTACACAAGTGTATAAATTGAAATTTCGCTTAAATTTTCAAAGGAAAAAAAGGGCGTACTATGTTAGCGTTAGCATAAATGAATTTATATGACAGAAAATAAAATATCAAGAATATCAATCACCGAAAACTCAACTATGTTCACTGCTGATGTGTATATATGACGGGGCTGTACGTGAGGATGTAAAATTCACATACATTGTTGGCTCATTCACTAACATCATAATTTTTGGGGTCTATGGTGGTTGTCTAACAACTGACTCACAACCTCACAATGACAATACACAGACTTTTTAAAGACTACCAAAAGAGGCTTTCAGAAATTAAGAACACATAAATCTCTAAATCAAATGCTTTGTTTCACAAGGGATAATCCAATTGACACTTTCTTTTTTCGTTTTTTTTTTTTCCCATTAGGGTTCTATTTTCTAAATTGAAAACAAAACCTTACAAAATTTGAGACACAATTAACATATTAATATGATCACCAAAAGATATATAAATGTGCTATAATAACAAATAGTTACCTGTCATGGACTAGTAATCTGCCGCTCACACTACCTCGTTGATCCAACGGCAGAAAGTCCTTGGAAGCTGGAAAATCATATGGCCAGCTTTGAACTTCAACTTCCATCTGAAATGTGTTACAAATTTTTCAGAGATGATATTTCACCCAATAAACAATTAAAGTTGCAAAATAATTTTCTTTTAGAATTGTAAAAAAATACAAAGCATTTTTTCATGTGAAACCTGCTGTTTAGCGTCTTCCCATAGCCGCTTAAGTGGGTCACCTCCATTCACCAAAGAATTAAGATGGATAAAAACGGGGCCAAAAACCTTCTTCCATGGCTCATTCGGCCCAAATTTTAATATCAAATCCGCTCCTGAGTAATGGGTGCTGTGAAATATCTGAAGATACCATTTCAATCAAAGTTAGTACAATTGTACTTCTCGTTTTTAATAACCATTATGGTACGAATTAGGGCTCTAAATCTTGAAACAGTTTGAGTTTGACTCGTATTTGGTTCATTAACGAACCAATCAATTTGCTAATGGGTTCGCACCACGGTGGTGGTGGATTCCCCCTATTCCTCATGGCATTCAGGATCGAACCCTAGTAGAGTTTCTTTCCTCCAGTGTAACCCAAATTCGCAAGAGAAACCAACTGAGCTCAAGCAAAATATTATGCTGAAGTTTTAACGAGCGGAGCTCGAATCAAGCTAGATCTATCTAGGCTAAATTGGGATATTAAACTTCATAAAATAATCAGAAAAGCTGGGGAAAAAGAAAAAAAAAACATACTTACAGCAAGGGTGATGGGCCCAACATGGGAAGTAAGGCACTGTTTGAGAGGCCCACCAGATTTGAACTCTTCGCTAGGAGTAATCTGCCAGAATCCCATGGGTGGGTCAGTGACCGTGGATATCCATCCATGCACCCGATTGTCCTTGTTCTCAATTGAATACTGATACTTATCATCAACCTGCGCAAAATCGACCAAAAATTAACCAAGAAACCGCATGAATTATTATGGGATCGGATTTTCTTTTTCTTTTTCTTGTCTATCAATTTTATCGTATATGATTTAGACATTTGATAAGGGATTAATTTTATTTAAATTATGTGCGGTCTAAATTCAGAGTCTGACAATAATGTAAAAAAGAACAATAAAAATGTTAGAAGTTAGAAGAAATACTTCTCCTTTAAACTCTGGCTCCACAGGATTGACAAGCAAAACAGCCTCTGGGTAAGCTAGGGGTTGGCCTCTTTCTGCCGTCCGATCATCAGGAAGCGGCATGTATCTTTGCCTATTATCTGACATTGCCATGTAATGAAACCTACACCAAGATTAAAAAAATAAGAGAACAATATTAAAGAAAGGAATTTTGTCCCTTTTACTAGAACCTAAGACCTACCCTTTTACGGATTAGTGCTGCTATTAGAACACATTTACGGACAACATTGCTGACCACCTCTTTATATAGGTAGGTCCGCAAGTAATTAGCAATGCAGTAAATAAATATGGTACAAAAAATATTATTTTTTTACAGATTATTCCAATGGCACTTAGTTTATGGGCCAATATAAACAAAAAGTTGATTAGCTTGATCTTTTCAAAATATGCATCATAATATTTTGATGCATAGAAGATAAGTGTTGAGCAACGTGATCATCCATATATACAGAAGAAATACTTTTTGTCTTTAGAATAAAATTCATACTTTTTATTAACCTGCAAAAATTAATATATTTTTTCTTTGGGTAAGTGCTGATACAGTTTATACACCAGGTGTTGAGCTAGAGACTGGTATAGCTGGTGCCTCTCTATTGGGGGTTATAATTATTTTTAGTTCGGTTACGGTGAGATTGAAAAGATAAACATCATCATCTTCACGAGAAAGCAATTTTCTTTTTGGATCAGACATCACGAGAAAGCAATCCCTGTATGAGTTTTGTTTTTCCCTTTTTTGCTATTGTATTTAGTCACTATACCAACTCAGCACTCTAAAGTTATTATTGTTTTATTTTATTTTTATACAAACGATATTCTACTTTAATCTAATCTAAATAATGAAGAGAAAGATTCGAACTTAGACGTAGAATAGAGATCACATCCGCTCTAGCGTAGGCCCATATCTACCTAAAGTTGTCGTAAATTTATTTGGCCTAGACCTTACCTTTTATATACGATAATAATCAATTCGCTAATTTTATTGTAACAAATGAAAGGGGATGCTATTGGCACTCCAATAATGGTTGCCTAAAATAAAGAGAATATGGATGAAAGGAATTACTTGTCTTTTCTGAGCTTAAACACGATCCTGGTATTGGTCAAGTCGAAAGCAGGCCAATCCTTCAAGTGTTCATAGATACCGTACGAATAGAAGCCTGGGGAGTTGCGAAGCATAACAAACCTTGAAATTCACATTACTATTGTCACCATCAATTAATCATG